GGGGGGGGGGTTGTTTATTTTGGGTGCTCAGGGGTAGGAAAGCTGTTTGTGTGTTGATACAAAATTATGGGAAATTATCATTTATAGGATTTATGGTTTCTGGGTTTTTTGGGTGCTTGGTGGTAGTAAAGCTGTTTATATGTTGAAATATATGTTATATATGATATATTAAATGCTTTCTATATTTTAATATGTATTATATATTTTATAATGAAATACATAATATATATTAAATATTTTCTACATTTAAACATACATATTTTACTTTATGCATTATACATTAATGTAATTATATCTAACCCCATGTAACAGTAACATTACCTCTAGAAATATAATTATCCAATTATACATATAATATATAACTACACTATATATTACATGTGTGTTGTGTACTTAGACGAAATTTTATGAAATCATATTTATGATTTTTATGGTTTCTGGGGTTTTTGGCTGCTCAGTGGTAGTAAAGCTATTTATACATTGAGACATATATCATGTATGATATATTTAGTGCTTTATATATATCTATATGTGATATAGTTTATGCATTATATATTTATGCACGCCCAGGATTAACCAGCACTAATATATGACATATTAAATGCTTTATTTATATCTACCTCCACATTATATAATCTGTTCATTCCATATGAATGCCTGCCCAGGATTGCCCAGCATTCCCACCCCCAGCAGCCCTTCCCAAACCCGGGAACGGGAGGATTTGGGGCCCTTACGGCGTCGTCGGGATCCCCTTGGAAGAACTTGAGGTCGGGGTCGTCGAGGTACTGCCGGCACTCCACGCACTTGGGAGGGGTGGTCTGAGGGAGAGGGACCCCAGTTACTCCATGAATTATCCCGGGTTTAGCAGAATCTCCCTGTTTTCACACCAGAAACAGCCCCGGCTGCTCCCCGGGGCCGCCCCGATCCTGGGAAGCTCCATGAGCCGGGAATGGTTTTGTTTTCCCCCCACAGGACAATCCATCCACCCTTGGGAAGAGTGAACTCATCCCAAAGCCTTGGAACGTGGAAATTTAGGAGTTTTAAGGGATGAAAACCCCCCAAAAAAAGGCTGGAATGGAGGAAAAGGGACTCACTTTAGCAGGGGTGGTTATTTTAACCTGAGGGATTTCGTCTCTGAGCTCCGACCTGGGTGGGAAAAACGGGATAAGGATGGAAAAGCTCAAGGTCATCAGCGAGGCTCCAGCCCGGAACCTTCTCCTTCCCCCTTACCCGTCTTTGGCTTCCATTTTAATCCTTTTCTCATCTTGCTCCTTGAGGAAGAGACAAAAAAAAGCGGGAGGAGGGGGGGGATGGAGAGCACGGAAAACTCCCGGGAAACTCGATCCCAGCTGGAAAAAATCAGCCAGGAGAGAGCCCCAGGATGTCCAGACCCACCTTGTCCTCCAGCTCCTCTTCCTCCTTCTCCACGTTCATCATCACCTCCGGCTTCGTCTCCCCGTTCACCTCCTCCGACTTCCTCTTGTTGGATCTGCCGGGATCGGGACCCGCCGGATCAATCCCGGGGCCGGGGGGCACCGGGGGCTCTCCTGGCGCTCAGCCAGGAGGGAACACCGAGGTTTGGGAGGGGGAGGAGGAGGAGGAGGAGGAGGGGGAGGAGCCCCCGACTGACCCTTTGGAGAAGAGGCTGAGCAGGGTGGGCTGGTTGGGCTGGCGGCCGGAGCTCCGAGTGACCCGGGAACTGGCGGGAGACTCTGCCGGGAACACGGGGAGAGGTGGAGAGGGATGGAGAGGGATGGAGAGGGATGGAGAGGGAGGATGGAGAGGGGGGATGGAGAGGGAGGATGGAGAGCGGCCCTTCCCATCCCTGTACCCGTCATCCCACAGGGAGACCGTTCCTGGGGGGATCCCTGCTCTCAATCCCACTAGGAATCGTTGGGCACCAGAGCCAGGAGACCCCAAAACCCTTCCCAAGGGGATTCCCACCCTCCATCCCACCGGGAACCCGGGAAAAGCGGCTGGAAAACCCCATCCCCCCCCCTTCCTCACTTTTGCTCTCCCCGTTGGATCGGCTCCTCCGGGCCTTCCTCGCCCTCGGGGTGGGGCCCAGCAGGGACGGGGAGGAGGAGGAGGAGGAGGCCACCCCTTCCTCCATGTCCCCGGCCCCGTCCTGCTCCTCGTCGCTGCCGGAGGCGCCGTTGCGGGCGCGGCCGTTGGTGGCCCCGTTGGCCCCGTTGGTGGCCCTGTTGGCCCCATTGGTGGCCCCGTTGCCCGTTGCCGAGAGCTCCTGGTGCAGCAGCGCCTTCACCTGCGCCAGGTACCGCTCCTGGGGAGGGAGGGGAAAGCTGGGATGACCCCCCCGGATCCGGGAAAGCCGGGAAAGCTGGGTGGGGGTCTGGGGGGAGCGGGAGCCCGGGATGACCCCCCCGGATCCGGGAAAGCCAGGAAAGGGTCCGGGGGGAGCAGGAGGAGCCCACCTCAGACAGCTCCTGGCAGCGCAGCTTGGCCTCCAGCTCCCCGAGCCGCCGCTGCGCCTCCGCCTGCAGGAAACCCTGGATCAGGCTCAGCCGCTCCCGGACGCTCTCCTGGGGGACACGGAGGGGACACGGGGACTGTGGGGACACTGGGGGGACACTCTGGGGCACGGGGACATCTCCCAAGGGATGGAGGGGACACGGGGACTGTGGGGACACTGGGGACACGGTCTGGGGCACAGGGACATCTCCCAAGGGATGGAGGGGACACGGGGACTGTGGGGACACTGGGGGGACACTCTGGGGGCGGGGGGACACCCCCCAGGGGATGGAGGGGACACGGGGACTGTGGGGACACGCCCTGGGGCATGGGGACACCTCCAGGGGACATGGAGGGGACACTGGGGATGTTGGGGACACGCCCTGGGGCATGGGGACACCTCCAGGGGGATGGAGGGGACACAGGGAATGCCCTAGGGCACAGGGACACTTCCCAGGGGGATGGAGGGGACAGAGGGGACACTGTGGGGACACTGTGGGGCATGGGGACACCTCCCACAGGGACGGAGTGCAGCACGGAGGGGACACTTCCCCTGGGGACGGAGGGGACAGAGGGGACAGAGGGGACAGTGTGGGGACAGTGTGGGGACAGTGTGGGGACAGTGTGGGGCAGGGGGACACTTCCCCTGGGGACAGTGTGGGGACAGTGTGGGGACAGTGTGGGGACAGGGTGGGTCCCCGGGGGACAGTGTGGGGACAGTGTGGGGGACAGGGACAGAGGGGACAGGATGGGGTTGGGAACAGGATGCACAGGGGTGTCCCTGGGCCATCCCCCCACACACACTGGACCCCCAATTCCACAGGGAACGAGAGGGTGGGAAGCCCCGGGAATCCCATTCCCAGCACGGGAGTCACGTGTCCCTGTGGAGCATCCCGGGATTTACGGAGACAACCCGGGGAGTGACCCCCCCCCCCAGAATTGGGGCCAAATCCCGGAGATCCTGGGACTCACCTTCTCACTCAGGGTCTCCTCATCCCTCTCCAGGTCCTGCAGCCTGTGGGGACACCGGGGGGGTCACCACGAGGATTTGGGGGGGGACAAAGGGACATCCCAAAATGCTGGGATGGCTCCGGGGGGGACACACGGACACGGAGCGGGAGGGGGGATTATTCCCAAGGGGAATCCGGGGGGGGGACAGTAGCCAAGGGACCCCCCAAGGGAGTGGGGGGGGTTGGGGCCACCCCCCGTGTCCGATCCAGGAAAAGGCACCGGAGAAGCCACTGGGAAGCCACGTGAGCCCTTCCCATGGGACAAAGCGGCCGTGGAGGGTGGGGGGAAACCCCCCTTCCAGACCCCATCCCGGCCCCTGGGGGTCCCATTCCTGAGCCCATCCCAGCTCCAGGGGGGTCTGTCCCATTCCCGACCCCATCCCGGCCCCTGGGGGTCCCATTCCCAACCCCATCCCGGCTCCAGGGGGGTCTGTCCCACTCTCGACCCCATCCCGGCCCCTGGGGGGTCTGTCCCCTTCCCGACCCCATCCCGGCCCCTGAGGGTCCCATTCCCGACCCCATCCCAGCTCTGGGGGGGTCCCATTCCTGAGCCCATCCCAGCTCCAGGGATCCCATCCTTGACTCCAGCCTGGCTCTGGGGGTCCCATTTCCAACTCCATCCCGGTTCTGGGGGGTCTGTCCCGTCCTGATTCTGGGGTTCCCATCCCTGAGCCCACCCCAGCTCCAGAGGGTCCCATCCCTGATCCCATCCCGGCTCCAGGGGGTCCCATCCCTGATCCCATCCCGGCTCCAGAGGGTCCCATCCCTGGCCCCATCCCGGCTCCAGGGGGTCCCATCCCTGGCCCCATCCCGGCTCCGGGGGGTTCAGCACAAACACCCGGATCCTGGGAGCTGCCCCAGGGCCCGGGAAGGGACCCCTCTGTCACCCCCTGGGAACGTTCCCGTCCTCCAGGATG